ATCTTCCATGATGTGGACTATGCAAGAAAGAAGCTTAAAGGTATGTTAACTTCATAGCAAATGAGGATTTCTCCTTCAAGACAGGATTCTTCAGAGGAAAGGTAAGATAAAACAGTTTATAAACCCCCTTTTATTTTTTTCCTCAATGAGGAGAGATTGAGTTTGAAATTTATTTGGTTGATTTGCTGTGATGTTTCAAGCCGCAGAATTAACAGTCTCCACAAGCTCTTTATGCACTTCAAAGTTCAGAAACTGCTTCCTCCCAACCCACATCCTAGAAAACAACTTTAAATATAGCATAGTCATGTACAGACAAGCTTGGGAGCCTGGGGTGAATGACATCTTATACCTTCAGGTGCTTCTTTTCCAGGAGCTCTGGGGTAGCCACAGGCTACAGAGCATAATGCAGCCCAACTTCCACTTCTACATGTCATATGACAACCATTTCAAGGATTGAAGCTATCACTTGTAATCACATTCAAACTGGGTTGTCTCTCCAACCAGTGACTTTGCTGCATGCTGTTCATTCCTCACTTTCCTCCCAATCATGACCCTTTCACCAGACCTCCATCAGACATATGTTGTTTTTCTCCCATGCAAACAATATCAGCCAATCACATAGTTATTGCATTGCCCAAAATAACTACAGGACAAATATGTCTATGAGGATAACTGGAAGGTTAACTAAGTTTTTCACTGTTTTCTCATTCCTCTACTGAACCTCGAATTGCAACACGCAAAGCAAATTCACTGCAGGGACAGGCGTGACCAGGAAAATACACAGTGCTGAGTATTTTTAGATACTTGGCAAAACTCTGAATTCAAACTTCAGTCAGATATTGCACATATGCCATATTGAAAGATTACAAAGGATCAGCAAATACCACTAGTCAAGCAAAACAGTATTTCCCAATTAAGGGTTTAAAAGTGAGTACAGATGTGGGAACCCTGAGCATCCAGTTACTCATATTTAGTCCAATAAGATGTTCTTAGAGTGTGAGTTTGTAAAAACAGATTCAAAGGCAAAATATCATTAATTCACCTGAGGGATTTTGGAAAGCAACACAAATCCCTAATTCTGCTGGATTTTACGATTCCTTAGGAATAATCAAACACAATCCTACTTAGCATTTAGAACACAGACTTAAGTGCAGCCCTTAATAATGTCTTCCTTTAAAACATTCCTTAGTCACTGCACTGTACATGCAGTTTTTGATCCTACTGGTCAGTAAGACATTAAACAGAAAACCTGTATTTAAAAGAAAAGACAAGCAGGGATAAAACTGTCAGACATTATATGGACAAAATATCAATGTGTGCTTTCTACATCCTTGTATGATGTGCTATTTGTTATCACTGGACAAACATTCATTTATATCATATATTCCTTACCTTTAACATAGTGAATTCATATGGTTGATAACCTTTGAAGCTTTCATGGATGGCTGCCATCGTGTGTGAAGTTTTTTCCCAAAAATGAAGCAGTGTTGCCTGTAAGGTGGGATAAAATTTCAGTGAAATGTTAGCTTTATCATCAATTTATTTTCAGTGCAAATTTCACATCTTCCCTCCAATAGTAGTTACATATTCTTACAGTTGAATATTGCCATGGTAACCTCTAAAAACCCATATTAACAGGAAATTTTTCACCGGGAGGTCAACGTTTTGGATACCTGATATGTTGTTAACACATGAGAAAGGAGGTTGCATCTGCTCGCTCCCAAAAGATCCACTTTTTGACAGACATCAGTCTTCAGTTTGTCAAAGTTGAGTTTTGCATGTCGCACTTGTGCTTGAACCTTCAAACAAAGAAACAATTGTTTATGCAGTGATTTTTTCCCCACTTTTAATGAAAGAGCAAGCTAATACAACTTTTAGGGAAATTAGACAACTGAACAGACTAAATTACAACTCATATTTTCTTCAATCCCACTGAAATAAAGAAACAGCAGATTGATACCCACTGCTAGCAGTCCAGGCTGGCAGTGATGATATTAATGAAAGTGGCATTAGGGTAATTAAAAAGGATTTCAATAAACTGGGCAGACTAGTTAATGGGACAGGAGCACAGGTGGTGTTTGCCTCGGTTCCTGCAGTAGCAGGGATGGATGAGGAGAGGAGTAGGAAAACACACCTTATCGATAGGTGGCTAAAGGATGGGTGCTACAGGCAGAACTTTGGCTTTTTTGACCATGGGGCATACTCTATGTTACCAAGCCTGCTAGAGCCAGATGGGCTTCATCTCTCTAGCAGGGGCAAAAGAACTCTAGCCCATAACTTGGCAGGGCTGATCAGGAGGGCTTTAAACTAGGTTTGAAGGGGGATGGGCTGGAAACCAGGCTTTCTAGAGATGAGCCTCAGGGTAGGCAGGCAGAGTTAGGAGTTAAATCATCATCCCAGCTGAAGTGCATGGCGAACAAACACGAGTTGCTGGAGGCCATTGTGCAGTAGGAAAGTTGTGATGTAGTCGCTATCACAGCAACGTGGTGGGATGACTTGCATGACTGGAGTGTCGCCATGGATGGTTACAAGCTCTTCAGAAGGGATAGGCAAGGTAGGAGGGGTGGAGGGGTGGCTCTATATGTCAGAGAGTCTCTTGATTCTGTAGAGCTTGAGGTTGGTAACCACAAGGTTGAGTGCCTGTGGATCAGAACTGGGGGGAAGGCCAACAAGGCTGACATCTTGGTGGGAGTCTATTACAGACCACCTAATCAGGACAATGAGGGTGATGATTTACTCTACAGGCAGCTAGCAGATGTCTCAAAATCACCAGCCCTTGTTCTTGTGCATGACTTTAACCTGCCGGATGTCTGCTGGAAATTTAATACAGCAGAGAAAAGGCAGTCTAAGAGGCTCCTCGAGTGCATAGAGGATAATTTTCTACTTCAGCAGGTAGATGAGCCTACCAGGGGTGGGACCCTGCTAGACCTGCTGATCACAGAGAAGGGCTGGTGGGAGATGTGGTGGCTGGAGGCCATTAGGGGCACAGTGAGTTTTCGATACTCAGGGATGCAAGAAGGGCCATCAATAAAACTTCTACCCTGGACTTCTGAAGAGCAGACTTAGGCCTGCTCAAAAGTCTGGTTCAAGGTGTACCCTGGGAAACAGCCCTCAGAAACAAAGGAGTCCAGGAGGGATGGGCATACTTCAAGAAGGAAGTACTGAAGGAGCAGGAGCAGCTGTGCCGGTGTGCCGTAAGGCAACCCGACGGGGAAAGGGCTGGCCTGGCTGAACAGGGAGACTGCAGGAAATTATGAAAAAAAAGAGAGTTTACTAACTCTGGACAAAAGGGCAGGCTACTCAAGAAGAGCTCAGGAATATAGTCAGAACTGAGAATAATTGGAAAACATATTGGTATCTGTTTCAAGAAATACCAATTCAAAACCTGACCGATGAATTTGGAAGTGAAAGTTGACTACATAATATACAGGTGCAGTCAGAGACATCTCCATGTACCTATAGTAAGAGACAAATTATACTGACAAACTTTAAAGTCTATTTGTGACTCTTGTTGACAATATAGCACTTCAATATCTCTGAACTGCTACAAAAATGTTGCTCATAAAGTTTTACTTCTAAAACAGGAGTATCTTTCCTGTTTATTATCATCAGAAAAATATCAAGCCCACCCCTTCCTTAGGAGCTAGCAATTTCAGTTTCAAAGGGTTTTCATGTATCAAATTATTCTTCTACCACCTGTTAAATACATACACATGTACATTAAGTACTGTACATATTTGACAACAATACTCATCATGATCAGGCATCAGGGTAGAAAGTTTACGTTTTGTACCCAGGATTCCCTATTTTTATTACAGTTTTGTACACTACCCAAATACAATATTAACAAAAGAAATTTGTTTAAATTCTGTAAACAAATTTTGTTATGGTTTTCTTCCAAGGAAATGAGAAACAAACCACAAAACATTATGACTGTCCTATAACTCTTTCACAGTTACAATGAAATGTTTACCCAAAAAATAAAACATTTGACAGTGGGAAAAAACCTACTCAGTGTAAATTGTGCATTTCCTTTCTTTTTCTGGCCTAACTTTGAGAGCAAACTCATTTTGTCCAGAATATGCAGACTTAATCAAAAGAAATTTGACAGACTTGTATGCTTTTGAATTTCAGAAGTGAATCTGGAGCTTTGCAGCAAGTGCCTGTGCCCCTCGTGCAGTAAGGACCAATGCTCTGAAATGCTATGGTTACCATATTTCTAATCTTATTTTCCCAAACTCACTTAGAGTATATGAGACTTCCAACCAGGCAGAAAAACAGCCAAAGGTCTGTATCACAAGTTCATCAGAAGACTGGCTAACACAAACTGTGGGATTCTTGGGTTGCTGGATATGTGGCAACTATTTCACTGATCACATTGGCTCTGTATAAGCAACATTGCCTGATCTGCTCATAAGGACAAAACGATCACAATTCAAAATTTTCCATAAATGCAGAATCTCACAGCTGAGATTTTAATTGTAGAAAGGATGGTGTACAGAAAAAACTTTTTTTTTTTAACTAAAGAGCAGTACTACTCTGCCTTTACAAAACACCTCTGTGGTTAATGCATTCATCTAGAAGAGGAAGTCTTCCAGGATAACTCCACATATTACACCAAGCAATCAATGAACAGGTCTTGAGTTCTGCTAATAACAACTACACCTCAAACGTCTGACCTGACCCAGTGCTCTAACCACATGACTACGTCTTACTGATGACTTGCTTTGCTGTTTTTGCAAACAAAAGAGGGGTGTCCAGAGATGGAAGGGTTCTTGGGTAGTTTGGAGATGTTTTGGTACGGTAGAGACAGATTTGAATTCCCTCAGGAAGGAGGAAATTGCTCCCATGGCTTTATCTTTTTAGGCAATCATGACAAATACTAAGTTATGACATAAAAAGCCAGAAGCAGCTACTGCCAAGATATCTCCCTACAAAGTACAGTATTTCATGAAAAGCCTTACCTAGTCATAACTACACTGGCATGAGCTGAGGCTGCCTCTTAGTTTTGGACCCTGGAGGGATGTTATACTACTTCTTTTTAGCTTGTGCCTGGTGCAACCCCAGACAAGGCACCGTGCTATCCATGCCAGGAGTGCCACTCCACACACAAGTGTCTAGCCAAAACAGCAGGTGGGTACAGAGCTTATGGACTTCCAGAATTAAGCAGCAGTGAAGGAAGATGGGAGCAATGGCAGAAAGAGAAAGCCTTATCCAGTGCTGGACAAACATATTTGTCCTGTGTTAGGTCTTCAAATCCTTTATTTGCTTTAGCTGCAAGTGTCTGAGAGCACAGATTTACAGCTTCAGTCTAAAAGGGAGTGCTGTGAAAAAAAATCAGGGGCCTGTGCAAAGGAACTTCTAAATGAAATCCAAATACAAGATTACCAGCATCTTTTGCCAGAAAGAATTGCTACAACAGGTAAGGATTTAAGTAAGAGATGTTGTAGGCCTTTGGAAAAACTAATCTCAGTTGTAGCCTGAGAAATTCAACTGATGTCAGTGGAAATGTGGCACATACAAAACTATATTTTACAATGGTGCAGCTGAGATCAGAATCCCTTTCCTATTCAGTATATCACAGCACTGATGAATGCACAGTAAGAACAGCTGTGGCTTTGTAGACTGAAAGTCCAAGTAAGCAAAGAATGTTAGTTCTGGGGAATATAAATACTCTGTCAGAGAGGTTGAGCCACAATAAAAAAAAAAAGTACTACTAAACGCAATTCTTAATCTCTACAACTGCAAATCTGCACAAGATTTTATACAACAGACAGGGATTTCAGTCTACCTCATGTCTTCGACTCCGTAAACAAAGGAGAAAAAAAAATCCATAAAACAAAAACACCTGTAAAATTTGAGTTGTAGCACATCCTTCAGGGACATTTAGCAAGGAACAATGTAAGCATTTTTCTTAACTGAACATGTAATTAGTGTCTCTCTTAACAGCTAGAGCATTTGTGAAGAGAAAGAGGTGATCCACAACACAGTGTGGAATACAAACCCATATGTCTGTCATGCTCATACAGATGATTTGAGATACTTAATGCTGTGTTACCAAATGCCACACATTTCTCTTGCCAACCAGGGAAGATGCAATGCTATTAGAACTATTAAATTAAGGATGCTTTTTGATATATTTAAATGTTTACTGAGCAGAAATACTCCCCTTTTATTCCTGCAGCAGCGCAGGCCAACCAAGGAAGAACACTGCATGACCCTTTGCCTTTTATCTGTGCCAATCAATGCATTTTCAATTCAAATTATTTTTAGACATCTTTTAAGATTACTTGCGGTCTCAGGAATTAGGTATAAAATCTTAGTGCTTACAAAGCATAATCTACTTAATAGCACACAAGTTATGAGAATGAACCTTTCATTTGCTACTCAAGGGAAAGCTGATATAATACATATTAATCTTCTCCTTTCTCTGCAATTACTCTCTAAGACATAAGAAACAGGACCTCACTGTGGTCTCAGTCTTGCAAATTTTTATTCATAGAATCATAGGGATTGGAATGGACCTTACAGATCCTTCTAGTCCCAAACCCCACTGCCATGGGCAGGAACACCTCCCCACTAGACCAGGTTGCTCAAAGCCTCACCCAGCCTGGCCTTGACCACCACCAGGGTCGGGGCAGCCACCACTTCTCTGGGCAACCTGTGCCAGTGTCTCACTACCTTTATGGTAAAAAACTTTTTCTAATATCTAACCTAAACTTCCCCTCTTTCAACTTGAACCCATTACCTCTTGTCCCATCACTGCAGTTCCCAACAAGGAGTCCCTCTCCGGCTCCCT